TATAAAAATATTCTTTATAAAGATTGTATAGTATAGTATCATATCCCTGTTGTCCATGGAAGAGTTTTGAATTGGAGAAAAAAAGAATCTTAATAAAGTGATATTTTATTGTAAAGATACTATAAAATATATATATAAATATTCTTTATAAAAATATTATAAAAAATATTTATTGTAAAGATACTGTAAAATATATATAAAAATATTCTTCATAAAGATATTATAAAGAATATTTATTATAAAAATACTATAAAATATATAAATATAAAAATATATATATTTTCTAAATATTTATCTTTTAAATATTTATAAAGATATTATAAAGATTGTGTATTGTAATAAGATACTATAAAATATATATAAAAATATTCTTCATAAAGATTATAAAGATACTATAAAATATATATAAAAATATTCTTTATAAAGATTGTATAGTATAGTACCATATCCCTGTTGTCCATGGAAGAGTTTTGAATTAGAGAAAGAAAGAATCTTAATAAAGTGATATTTTATTGTAAAGATACTATAAAATATATATAAAAATATTTTTTATAAAGATATTATAAAGAATATTTATTGTAAAGATACTATAAAATATATAAAATATTCTTTATAAAGATATTATGAAGAATATTTATTGTAAAGATACTATAAAATATATATAAAAATATTCTTTATAAAGATTATAAAGATACTATAAAATATATATATAAATATTCTTTATAAAGATTGTGTATTGTAAAGATTCTATAAAATATATATAAAAATATTCTTTATAAAGATATTATAAAGATTGTATATTGTAAAAATATCATAAAATATAAAAATATTCTTTATAAACTTATTATAAAGATTGTATATTGTAAAGATACTATAAAATGTATATAAAAATATTCTTCATAAAGATATTATAAAGAATACTTATTATTATAATAAGTATATGTTGAAAGAAGGGAAGGAAAATTATAATAACGTTTGTTCGTTCGATGCGTGTGGTATACACAGGTTCATCCGAGCAGAGAACTCGTTGCGTCTGGGCAAAAAGCCGGGAGGCACAGAAAAGCGCAACCTCACGTCCGCATATGGTCAACAGAGACTTTGCTCACGCTGTACGTGTTCGGAATGACCGAGTTCCAGATGGGCGTCTCCGCTTTAGCGTTCTCGCAGCTGGTAAAAAAAAAAAAAGAATTATTATTCATATTACTCGCGAGAGAATTTCAAGAAATAATATAATAATACATCGAGGAGAAAAATTTTCGAATAATAATTCACATTGTTTACAGAACGGGGGTAGTTACGTGTTAGCGGTCGACGCTGGTAGAGAAGCGATACTCTCGGTGTGGCAATGGCAATGGGGCCATTTGTTGGGTAAAGTGGCGGTAAGCTTTTTTCCCTTCCAATAATCTTTATCATAGAACGACATAGTTAACAGTCACAATTGTCGCAGACGATGCAGGAGGATTTGACGGGGGCAGCTTTCCATCCCCTCGACGACAACCTTCTTATCACTCACGGCCGGGGCCACTTGACGTTTTGGAATAGGCGTAAAGACGGTTTCTTCGAGAGGACGGATATCATCAAACCTGTAAGTTAATCATAAACGTCACGTTCTTTTTTTTTTTTTCCAATACACGGAATTATCTCATCGATTCTCTTGTCTCTCTTTCTCCCCCTCTCTCTCTCTCTCTCTCTTTCTCTATCTATCTCTCTATCTGTCTATCTATCTATCTATCTCTCTCTCTCTCTCTCTCTCCCTCTCCGTTTAAGCCGTCCCGCACGCACGTGACCAGCATCCAATTTGAACAGGACGGGGATGTCGTGACGGCGGACAGCGACGGTTTCATCACCGTCTACTCGGTGGACGCTGATGGCGCTTACTTCGTCCGTATGGAATTCGAGGCGCACAACAAAGGTATCAGCTCCCTCGTCATGCTGTCGGAGGGGACGTTGCTCTCCGGCGGTGAGAAGGACCGGAAGATCGCCGCCTGGGATTCCCTGCAGAATTACAAACGTATCACGGATACGAAAGTACGCGCGACTGTGTGTGTGTGTGTGTGTGTATAAAATAGATCCATAGGAATCGAAAGTGTCGGTGGTGTTAAATTGGATTAACTGCGGACATTGCAGTTGCCGGAGGCGGTTGGGGGTGTGCGCAGCATCTATCCCCAGAGGCCTGGGAGGAACGATGGGAATATTTATGTGGGCACGACAAGGAACAATATTTTGGAAGGATCCCTTCAGAGAAGGTTCAACCAGGTCGTGTTCGGGCATGGGAGACAGTTGTGGGGCCTCGCTGTTCACCCTGACGACGAGGTGTTCGCCACCGCCGGCCACGACAAGAATATCGCTCTTTGGCGCAGGCACAAACTCCTCTGGACGACTCAGGTACCAAAATTTCTCCTCCCTCTCTTCTTTTTCTTCTTCTTTTTCTTTTTCTTCTTCCTCCTCCTCTTCTTTTTCTTTTTCTTCTTCCTCCACTTCTTTTTCTTTTTCTTTTTCTTCCTCCTTTTTTTTTCTTTTTCTTCTTCCTTCATTTCTTTTTCCTTTTCTTTTTCTTTCTCTTCTTCTTCCTCCTCTTTTTTTTCTTTTTCTTTTTCTTCCTCCTCTTCTTTTTCTTTTTCTTCTTCCTTTTTTTTTCTTTTTCTTTTTCTTTCTCCTCTTCTTTTTTCTCTTCTTTTTCCTCCTCTTTTTTTTCTTTTTCTTTTTCTTCCTCCTCTTCTTTTTCTTTTTCTTCTTCCTCCACTTCTTTTTCCTTTTCTTTTTCTTTCTCCTCTTCTTTTTTCTCTTCTTCTTCCTCCTCTTCTTTTTCCTTTTCTTTTTCTTCTTTTTTCTCCTCTTTTTCTTTTTCTTTTTCTTCTTCCTCTTTTTTCTTTTTCTTTTTCTTTCTCTTTTCTTTCTGTTTCTTTTTCTTTTTCCTGTTTTTTTTATTCTTGTTCTTTTTTTTCTTCTTAGGTCGGTTTCGAGTGTATTTGCATAGCTTTCCATCCTTTCGGGGTCGCTCTTGCTGCCGGCTCTTCGGAGGGTCATCTTTTGGTGCTTGCCGCTGATACAGGGGCGGCTGTGGCAACCCTCAGAGTCTGCGGCTCGCCCTTGTCGTGCATTGGCTACAATCCAAGTAAAACATAAAACATACGATTTATTCTTTATTTCTTACGTCGATCATAAATTATAACATAACCTCACTTTTGTTTGTTCAGCGGGTGAAATCGTTGCGATGGGCTCTCAGAACGGTAGCGTGTATCTGTTCAGAGTGTCCAGAGACGGATTCTCGTACAAGAAAAGCAACAAAATCCGCGGGACGCAACCGTTGGTCCAGCTCGACTGGAGCTCCGACAGCAGATTCCTTCAAACGGTTACCCAGGACTACGATTTAGTATTTTGTAACTTTTTCCCTTTTTCTTTCTTTCTTTCTTTCACGTTTCAACAAACGAGATCAATCAATTCTCGATATTCTCCTCGATGCAATAACATAAAAAAAAAATTATAATAATAATAATAACAATAATAATAACAATAACAATAATAACAATAACAATAATAACAATAATAATAATAATAATAATAATAATAATAATAAATTTCTCAGGGGACGTGAAAGCGTTGTCATCCGAAAAGAGTCCGTTGGTGATGAAGGACGTGAAATGGTATACCCACAATTGCATGGTTGGATACATGGTGTCTGGTAAGTGTGGACGAACAAGTGTGAACTTGCTAAACGTGCTACATAACAGAAAAAGAACGAACCGTTATAAAATTTCACACACACACACACACACACACACACACACACACACACACACACACACACACACACACAC